CCTTCTCCAAATTGCACCTTGCATGGCCCACAAAAGGGTGGGTCAACTTGGCATGGCCACTTCCTTCTCTACATTTTACCCCTGCATTGCCCTCAAATTGGTGAGTCAAGTTGGGATGACCACTTCCTTCTCTATTTTACCCCTGCATTGCCCACAAATGGGTGAATCAACTTGGAAGGGCAACTTCCTTCTCTAATTTTTACCTCTGCATGGCCCACAAAAGGGTGAGTCAACTTGGCATGGCCACTTCCTTCTCTAGATGTTACCCCTGCACTGCCCACAAAAGAATGAGTCAAGTTGGAATGACCACTTCCTGCTGTAAAATTTGCCCCTGCTTGCCCACACAAAAGGTCAAAAGGGTGAGTCAAGTTGAATTTGTAACTTCCTTTTGTAAAAATTTACCCCTGCATTGCCCACAAAAGGGCAAGTTGGAATGACCACTTCCTTCTCTATATAAATGTTACCCTCGGGTGGCTCGCCAAAGCGTGAGCCAAATTGGAAGGGCCACTTCCTTCTCTAAATTTTACCCCTGCGTTGCCCGACATAAAGGGGTGAGTCAAATTGGAATGGCAACTTCCTTCTCTATTTACCCTCGGGTTGCTCACCAGAGGGTGGGTCAATTTCGAAGGGCAACATCCTTCTCCAAATTATACCTTGCATGGCCCACAAAAGGGTAGTCAACTTGGCAAGGCCACTTCCTTCTCCAAATTTTACCCCTGCGTGGCCCACACAAGGGTGAGTCAACTTAGCATAGCCACTTCCTTCTCTAAATTTTCCCCTGCATTGCCAACACAAAGGGGTGAGTCAAGTTGAAATGGCAACATCCTTCTCTAAATTTTACCCCTGCATTGCCGACAGAAGGATTAGCCAACTTGGAATGGCAACATCCTTCTCTAAACTTTCCCCTTGGGTGGCTCACCAAAGGGTAGGCCAACTTGGAAGGGCCACTTCCCTGCATTGGCCACAAAAGGGTGAGTCAAGTTGGAATGGCCACTTCCTTCTCTACATTTCACCCCTGCATTGCCCACAAAAGGGTGAGTCAACTTGGAAAGGCAACTTCCTTCTCTAAATTCTACCCCTGCATTGCTCACAAAAGGGTGAGTCAAGTTGAAATGGCAACATCCTTCTCTAAATTTTACCCTCGGGTGGCTCCCCATAGGGTGAGTCAACTTGGAATGGCAACTTCCTTCTCTAAATTCTTCCCTCAAGTGGCTCACCAAAGGGTGAGTCAACTTGGGAGGGCCACTTCCTTCTCTAAATTTTACCCCTGCATTGCCCACAAAAGGGTGAGTCAAGTTGAAATGGCAACATCCTTCTCTAAATTTTACCCTCGGGTGGCTCACCAAAGGATGAGTCGACTTGGCAGGGCAACATCCTTCTCTAGATTTTACCCCTGCACTGCCCACACAAAGGGGTGAGTCAAGTTGAAATGGCAACATCCTTCTCTAAATTTTACCCCTGCGTCAACCAGTGAAACACACGTGAAAGCACAGACATGAGAGCACATAAACGAAAACAAATATTCTTTGTTGAGGGAATGGGTCACGACAGTGTGACAACCAAAGTGAGGGCATGAGTGACTAAGTCAGCAAAGATAGAAGTAAGTAAGTGGCCATTTATATGGCAGCCCTGTTCATATTGAATAAGACAAGGGAGTTTGTGAGGAATCACCCTGAAAAAATATCATTGTGGCAGGTGATTGTAGCCCATAAAGGACTTGACAAATGGTATGACACATGAAGGGTATTGAGACCATTGTATGGATTCCTTTTTTAAATGCAGTATTTTCCTGAAGATATGTAAGAGAGTGGGAGGGAAGGGCGCCGAAGAGGGAGAAAAGAACAGGGCAGTGTTGGATGATTTGTATGTTGACTACTGGCTAAAGAAGTTACCCATAAGAGACATCATTGAGAAATACTTCATTGATACCGACAACGTTATGACATCTGATAGGCACATCGCATACACCAACTTGAGATGTAGAAGTGTAGCAAATAGGGTCAGGGCATTGTTAGGTTTTAAAAAACAAGTACGTATGAACTAGGTGAAGAGTTGATACGCCGTCTTTATCTGGACAAGGATGGTATGAAATTTAATGCGATAAAGTTATAAATATAAACTCCTGCATGATTACAATACAAACTATCAAAGAAAAACAGAAGACATATTGCGCTACTTGTCACAGTTGTCAAGGGGCATACATCAAATCAACAATCACCATCCACGAATGGGAGAAACAGAATCTGGTCACTAGGGAGTGCTTATGGACATGCATCACTAGAGCAACCGATTTCAGGAATGTTTACTATTTCAAGAACGATTCTGATGATGATAGGATACATGGTTTACCGTTAAGCAACTACTTGAAGATGGGCATAAGGTTCAGGACTTCAAGGCCGGAAGACACATCAATGCCAGGAACTATGTGAACGTGCGCTGGTGCTAGAGGGACTGGCTGAGTGCTGTCAGAAGCGCGGTGGGTTTTTGAAATAGATGACAAAAGGGAAATCAAGTAGCACTGTTGCCGTGCAACGGGTTGACAATGCCTTTTGCCATTCCATAGATAACTGCGTGGCATACTGTAGATACTGTAA